GTGGGGTGGGGGGGGGGGGGGGGGGGGCTAGTCAACTTTGGCAATGGATTCATCCTAATGAAACCATTGATGATACATACAAAACCAATAATGAAGATTACATTATAATATATCTTTGATTCGAGTAGGATTCGATCATATGACTATCTGCGTACAAGCCCAGCACAGTAACCCATGAATCGAATTGCATTTTGTTGTTGCGTTACGTACTGACATAAGACGTGTGAGAATAGAAGAATAGGCTTTATGAGTTCTGTCCAAACCCCTCCATTTTCTAAATAGACTCAGTACGACGTAATTAAGTGCGACTTGTCTTATTTATAATATTTTTTAGTCTTGTGCTAATAAAATGTGATTTTTACTGTGCATAATCTTAATTCTGGTTTCGTGATTTCTTCTGCATAGTCACTTAAATTAATCTTTATTGGTAACGTTGTTAGACTGAAGTCACTTTACATGTCATTGACTTCATCCTATCCAAAGACTTCTAAACACAACCAGACTTGATCATAAGACCGGACGAGTGGAGGTACATTACGAACTGCGCAGTGGTAAACCTGGTGGTTGTACTCGATAATCTAACTGTAATACGTCGTAGAAGATCGGTTAAAATTCTGCTGTGTCTATAAAAAGAGATTGGTACCGTAGGTGTGCCTGGGTTAGTGGGCCTATTAAGTGTCGGAATGTGCAGAGTTGTCCAAAATGTACCTACCAAGTTTAATGCTTTCTTTTACCCAAACGACGAGGCATAAAAATCCCATTCAAATACCGTTGAGATGAGCTTCTCAAGCCTCTTATATTAAGATGTGTTCAATGTGTTTGCCCCCAAAAATATGGATTAGTTTTTCAATCCTTCCTGTTGAAGACCTGGTGCCGCTTTGAGCGTAATCGTCCAAAACTGATCCTGCCTCGCGAAATGTCTTGACGATGCGTCTGTTCGGTCAAACTTTAACGCCAGTCTTTATCCAGAACGTTCTCTGGTTTTATCTTGGCTTTCAGATAATCTAATGTACTTTTCGATTATAAATATTTGCTGCACGTTACTGTACAAAATCGAACTAAATCAATTGATAAACAAATTATTTTAATATTACAGTGTGTCAGCAACGTTTCATCAGATTATGACCACTCGTTGCGGAGAAAACTTTGTAGGTACATTTTCGAAAATTTCGTATTTTGAATGCGATCCACTGTGCAAAGTCGATTAATAACACTGTAAATTATCTGCCCATAATTTAATGTGGAGAAAGTGTAGGCGAAGTTTAAAAATATTACTTTATAGTAAATGAATGCTAATATAACAGCAGACACATAACTAATTCATAAATTTGCTTCTTGTTTTGATTATGAGTCTGCGAGCTGTCATTCTAGAATTCAGTTTCAGCCAGTGTAAGGATTATTTATCTTGCGCTATAAGCAATTATGTTCTGTAAAGTTGGTGGTAGTACGTTTTAGGATAATTAAGGTTAAATCAATCTTTTCATAATAATGCTGGTCTGAGAAGTCATTTAATAGCAACGTGAATGCAAACAATGATTATTGTGGCAATGAGTGCGGTGTGGAAAGGCCATGAATATAAGCTGTTATATTGCATAGGCCTTGATAACAAATAAAGAATGTAATATTTATGTCCTTTCAGCGTGTGTTCCGGTTTTCATGGAGTGAATTTGTCGGATTCCCGGAATTGGGTTGGGTGCAACTTCTTAATGAATTACACGCATGTTTCATATGCTGGTAAGGCACCAAGACATTACCTGGGAATACAAACAGTTTATATAATTTTAATTTCGAATTCATTTCTGTTCTTGAGCAAGCCTAGTACTCGATGGATCACAATTTGCGAATCTATGGATTAACAATTTACCTACGTTTCGATAACACTTATAATGCTAGTAGATATCTTTATAGCATATCACAAATCAAACTTATGTGATTCATCAGTTATCGTCAAGATCCCAAAATGCTTCACGCAGTGACCATCCATCTCTCACTATAGCAATACTTCATCTTTTTAAACTTGCAGGCAAATGAATTCCTTTCTGCACACGTACCAGTTTCTTGATGCTGATTTGTCTGGACAGGTCCGTGTGGCGGTAACTCCAGACTGGTAGACCTATTCAGTAGGTACCCGGTTGGAATCTCGGCCGGGCAATGGACTATCCTGCCTTGACATTTCTCGAGGTTTGACTCAGTGTCTCAAGGCAATGGCACCCGTTCCAGTCCTAACCTATGCAGCTTATGGTCACCTTACCATTTATTTTGACCTTACAATTATTACCTCTTCAGATGACACAGCGGTGTAGCCCGAGAAGAATTTGTTCTTCTAAGTCACCGTGAATGTTTCATATCGTACGAAGTTAAAATTATTTCCGTCTTTTGCTTCCGATACAAGTTCTAACGCGTGTGCGTGATGTCGCTACGTGTGCATCAAGTCCGGACTAGTTCTGGTCGCATGGGTCATGATACAGCGAATGCCTTGGCTGACCACTGAAGGTCACTCTGCTCACTAATAGAATAGTATTTATTTCAGTATATGGGGTCAGAAGGATGTTGCACCTTATTGTTTTTGTATTTCACGGGGGTATTGCTTCCTGTTCCTGCTTCGTGACAGGTCAGCAGGCCACGACCTCGTAGACACTCACAATAGCCTTGTAATAAATGCTACAGACTTTGCGTTAACCGTCTCACAGCTCACTCATTCCACGCACTTAGCCGACATTAAAAGCCAATTTATTATTAACTAGTTTAATGCAGAGTTTATATGGGCCTTATACACCACTTTTTCTCGGAAACTAAGCAAATGCTGTAAAATTGTCTTGAACGATCAGGCGCGTCAGTTCGGAGTGAAGTCCAACGTTTCGGAGTCTTTCTCTGCCTACGTCATCAAGGAAATTTTTGTAAATAGTTTCATTCTCTTTTCTAGTTTTACATAATGAGAAGATTAATTATTTGTACTCAACTATATATTATGATGGGAAGGGCATGTAGCATGCTTGAGGGAGGTGAGAAATGAGTACGGCATTGTAGTTGAGAACCCTAAATGGAATACTTCGGCGCAATCAGCAGGATGATTTTAAAATAGGTCTTAAGTAAATGCTTTAAATAGTGTGGTATTGTGATCACAGTAATCAGCCTTCGTATTATTTAACACACGGTAAATTTCTTTGGGCGTTCTTCAGATATGAAAATGAAATTTAGTACAACTTTTAAACAGTGTTATATTGTCACTTTAAAAATGTACGAGAGTTCCAAGGTGTAACCTGGAGTATGCCTACAGGTATTTTCCAAATAGGTACATTATTGATTTTATGTTCATTTATTATAGACAAAATGTAAGGTCTACAGTTACATTATTGTAAAGTTAATCACATCAGAGATGCTTCACTCACTGCATAGCTGTGAATGGTCCACAAAAATTGACTTCTAACTGAAGTGGCTTGGCATGTCCAATGCTTTTTCTGCCTTGCTCCCGTTTACTGTGGAAAAAGAAAAGAAAACCAAGAAAATGCAGATTACTTACTAGTTTTCACTTCCAGATCAAAACAAGAATCCCCGTTAGGTAACCTTTCGACTCACCTTGACAGCCAATACTTTTGCATCTATAAATTTGATCATGAATAGCTGTTATTCATATTTCAAAAGGCGTATTAATTTCCGTGTAGGCCTCGTAATAAATCATGAGACCGGATACCTCAGCAGCGTGAGTAGCTACGAGCTTGGTGTCTGGAGTTTGATTCCGGATACAGGTAGAGGTTTTTCAATTGGCCACCACGTTCAGGCCTGCTCTGGGTCCAGGGTAACAGGAAGCGAAGTAGGTCTGTAGCTGACCTCCGCGTGGTACTAGTTTACTCTTTAAAACCCACTGTCACCTGTTTTAACAATAAACTCTTAGGCATTTTGTCCACAGTGCATTTCTATATTTTGCACGATTTTCAGAATAAACAGCATTAGTCCGCCGAACTTTGTAATGGAGACGTGATGTGGTGTCTGTGAGGTAAGGACTGAATATTTAAGTAATACTTTGATGAGGTTTGGCTCAAAGGGTTGATGCATTGAGTATTATCTCCGCTTCAGTGGGTAGTGCGTGCAGAATTAGCTTTTTATAATAAAACGTGGCTTTTTTATCTAATAACTGACACCGTCCTACGCTATAAGAACCTAAGCGTTTAGTTTAATGTAGGTATAATTCATAAACGCGTTGTTTGCGAATTTACGTAATTCATGGGTGGTGTGTAGTAGATATGGATCGAATGTAATGAACGCTTCTGGTAAAACACTACGTAGGTATACATTTTCTTTGTATTTTGTTACAAAGTAATTACATCCTAATCGTAGGGGCCTAATTAAAATCTTAATTAAATATCTTTTGTATTTTATGTAGCATAGCAATTTTTGTACGACTGCCCGTTTTTATCTTTTTCAGTTCAAAAATATTTTCCTGAGCATTTTGATTACCTGTAGACCTAATTTATGTTTTTCAAATAGCGAACGATACTGTCAGCTGTGTGTTACTATTTGTCTTTCTGCCTTGCTTATTTGTCAGGCTAATTCTTCTCGAAAATATTACTGATTCCACATTCAGCAAAGTAATTTCTTCTAAATATCCGTTATAATTAGTGTAAAAAGGATGACCTACACAGAGTGACTCTGAGGTAAATGAGTCGTTAGGTCTGTATAACGAGGATATTGGGTACAGGAAATCTTGTTTGTACTGAAATCGTAATGTATAATAAGAAGGATTTGAGGTTTTCGGTGCTGTGAGTCTGAACATGGCTGTCTTCTGGATTGTTGCGGTGTGTAGTCTGGTAGAAGTGTACCGACGTTTCAGAGGCCATCGCCCTGACGAAGGAGGCATCAAGGACCTCTGCAACGTCGATAAACTTCTTCCAGACTACACGGCGCAACAACCCAGTAGGAAGCCATCTTAATGTATAACAAGCGTAAATATTCGTAAGTGACACAATACTTGAGCAAATGAAGTATGTTTACTGGAGATCTTGCCGATGGACTTGTACGCAGGTACCAAACCAATAAGTTCACATGGCGTTACAACCATGAAGACCAACATCGACATCTAGAACATCAAACGTGATGTTGGGAGATGCTGTTTTTGGATGATGGAACTCAAAATGATTAGACCCTGCCGAGTTATGTGTTTAATACAAGTCAGGATAAAGTCGCATCCATTCAACTCTATACGTTTATTAATGAAATAATAACTTTGCAAACAAACATGCTGGCCCTACTGAGCTACAATATTCAGTGGTTCATTGTGGAAAAGAGTAATTTCTTGCGTGTGTAACTGGATGTGCCGTCATGGATGTTAGTTCAGGTCCACATCGGAAGCTTGTTTCATGTGTCACATACAGATAAAACCAACCGCATATCCACTGCCGGAACCATGTCATCATACATCAATACTGGTCTTTCTCTGTTTGCAATAAAGTTCATTGCATACCTGCAAAGTCATTCAGACTGAGCCTTAATGTAATAAGTAGTTATGCTGTGGAAGTGTTAAGACCGCCCACTAGACGACAGACGAGAGCGACTGTGGGAATGAAATGTTTTCATCTCAGTCCTCAGTCGTCTTGGGTCAACGATTTTGGCTGAATGGTTTCTCTTATTACGTGTCTTTTTTCCTCTCTTGCATCTAGTTCGTTTTTCATCAGGTGTACCTTGCTTCGTGGTCAGAGATTTTTCCTGTGTGTCTCGCCGGTATCACGTTTAGCGGCATAGACTGATTACATGTCACTTAACATCGAGGTTGGTTCCGCAAGAATTTGCTGTTCTGGTTCCATCAGCAACGTTATAACTCAGTGAGAGACTGCGATGAACACCAGACAAGTTTTGTTTAATCACACTCGTATTTAGAGGAAGGATTTACGATTTTAACTCTCGACTTGTATAATGTCTGGAAGGGGCTAATGTGCTTGTGAGGGTGGTATTGAAAAGGCGTATTTTTCTTACCCATGTCGCCTGTATACTATCTGGGTGTATGAAATGCGTATAGCTCAAGCTGTTGTTAAGTAGATGACAGGGTAATCACAGATTGGATAGCGCTTTCGATGGCTCACCGTTAGTAAACAGTGTTTTTATCGAAATCATTGTTTATAGGGAACGTAGAATGTAATTGGTTTTGTATTAAATATTGGTATTGCATTTATTTAAATGTGTGGAATAGAAATGTTTATAAATTCTCCTCCCTCCTGCTCTCTCTTCACTTTGGTCAAACTTCAACGCTAAAGAAATCTCAAAACGAGTTCATTTCTTGGCCGATCAGACCATCACAGGGTGTGATCAACCACAATACTTTACCATCATTGGTTCACCAAAGGTATGACCTACAACTCTTAAGATAAAATTGAAGAAATAAAAACTTGTCTTGGGTCTTATATGGTCAGCCACTGCGGAGGGCGGTAGGTTCACAGCAGCAATAAGCATAACGCTTTCGGAACACCATGTTCTTTTACTTGTTTGCTTATTACATTTCCTAGCGGCTTCGTACAACGAAAAACTTGTTTAAATCTCAGTTAGGGTTACATGATCAGAATGTCGACTGGGTATAGACCACATTCGGTTATGATTAGAGTGATTTTCCTCAGTACCAAAAGAAAATTCTGCAGTAGTATCTTTCAGATGCCACGACCATTGCCACCTACATCCATTGCAGTTGCTTATTTGCTCTTATACTCCCACAATTCATATGACGCTGTGTAGCCTCTGTAGTCGATGCAGAATTGCATTTACCTGTTAAGAAACTCATAGCACTCAACTACCAAAGGAAGACTCTGCCACAGAGCTTTTATATTTATGATTCTCTCAAAAAACATCTCGATATATGTATTCTGAGTTGTCTGGTGGTATCTTGCCGACGTTTCAGAGGTGATTGCTGCCTCTGTCATCAGGGCGATCGTACGCCTCAACAGTTCAGCAGACGTTCATCACCATACTCGCCGCAGTGAGAATCAGATATCTCGCGTAGGGTATGATGGCGGATACGCTGAGTGCGTTGTGAGTTGGCCAGGACGTTTCATGCAGAGGGCAGGCCGATGACCACACGGCCGAGCACGGGACACTGATCACAGAAATGGCCACCGGTGGCGACGACGGTGAGCCAGCAGTTCGCTCTCTTTCGCTGCCAAGCCCTGGCGTTGCTCTCCCCACCAACTGACCCCAGAAGTACACAGACACGTTTCGTATCTTGCAGATTATACCAAAACAAAAACAAAAATGAAGAGAAAAGAAAAATAATGACACAGCCCGCCTGATTTATATCAATAAAATGTTGGTATGCAGTTTGGCCTCATCAGGTACAACTTTTTGGTGCACCAGATTCCTATGTATAATGAAGACGAAAATAAGAAATGCACTCGAGTTAGAGTTGATAATTGTCACAAGACATGTTTCAGTTTCCAAATTACTTTGCTACAGGCTCCAGAAACATGACCATGTAAAGAATACTCAAATAGGACGTTGAAGGACTACACAGCTTAATGAACAGTTGCAGTTTTATTGTGGATTGGCTGAAATGTTCTGGCTTTAAATTATATACCGTGTTAAAATGTCTCTTATACGAAAGGAAAGTGTGCCTTGTGTCTATTTTAATATTCATATGAAGTGTACAATTGTGGACTGATTTGAATTAGTTCGGGATGGTTAAATGGTAAACTTTTGTGAACACGGCAATAAACTATCCAGTACTATTATTAGGGTCATTATTTCAAGGAAGATCAGACATTCGAGGCATAGTAATACATAACAGAGTACAACTATTACTGTTATGTTACGTCCTGCCTCAATAACTATATTTCATCCACCTTTCGAGAAAACAAAAGTATGAGACCCTTTTGGAGACCAGAATTGACCCCAATATTAAATTCGAATAAAACAGGGTGACCTGCGTGGACTTGGTTCGTTGGCTTCAGAACAGGATCCAGTGGCGAGCTGTTGTAAGAACGGTAATGAACCTTCGGTTTCCGTGAATACCTGGACATTTCGTGACCAACTTAGTGGTTATCAGCGTCCTAGGAAGGTCTCTACTATATGGATTTGGTTGCTTTGCGTTGCACTCATGCCAAAGATCGTTGGTAACTGATACATCGTTCAGTAACGAATCGACTGCACATCTATCCGCCACTATACCCACCCACTAACCCGACAGCATCCATCAGTCAATCCATGCATCCTTCAGTCAATCCAGCGATGCATGAAACAGTTCATGCTGTTCTGATGAACCATTCTAACTAGATATATCAATTTCGGATGATAAATGTAAAGTGTTAATGTGAACGATGAAACTTCTGTCCGTTCAATATTACGGTCATTACGAAAGCTGATATTTCTGAGGTTACATAAATGTTCTATTATTTCCAGATATTTAAAGCCAATATAAACGATAATATAGTGCAGAAGTATGCGTTTATACGAGACAATAATTCAGAAGAAGAGAGATTAATGAAACGAAGATATCGGTGTGTATCTGCAAGAAATGGATCTCGAGACAGCAAGTTAAAATCTGCAAAGAACGCATTTGGGAAATAGATTCATTCAATGTGGCCATCTTTTCCACTCTTGTTTCTTCAGTTCGGGCAGCGGATTCTTTCAGTATTTCTGGAACCAGCTTTTAGCTGGAAACGCAACACTATAGAATTATTTGCGACTGTCGTCTTGTAAAATGACGGAAATCACACCCGTCTTGGGTGTTTGCTCCTTCTGGTTTAGAAGCCATGTCCGTTTCATGAACATCAACCACGCTGTAGTAGGTCACACATTCTATTTAGTGAACTGCTTCGGTTTCGGTTGTCTGTTCATGGCCGTCGGTTGTCACTTGCGATATCTCTTCACGTCACGCATGTCATCAGGTGACCTTGGATATCCCCTAACAAAAAAAATTATGGAGATGGACATCTTACCACTTGTTTTTGCTGTATCTGCAGCTCACGCCCAAAGAGAATCTGACTAGAAACTCAAAATCCACAGACTTATTCTGAATTCAAGAAATATTTTTTTTTAAGTTTCGACGAAGAAACCCCACAGGAGTTTCGTAAATGTTGTCTTATTTTTCTGCGTAATCCTCACTCATCGTTCTTATGATGGAGGGAGTAAACACCTGCGAAACGTCGGCAAACTTCTACCAGACTACACAACGCAACATCCCAGAAGACAGTGTTCGTATTCTCAGCCGTAAGAACCTGTAATTCGTATTTATTTTTAAGGATGCTGTAAAACGCCTCCCTCCTTTGTTTCGCCACTCGTTACTCAGGCCTTATCGTCTTACCGTCCTGATAGATTTTGCCAACTCCTCCTTACTAATACCTTTGTCTTTGTCTGCTGGCTGGTCCTGTAGGGTGGAGGATGGATCTGTGGTCAAGCGAAGACTCACGCATTGCTTGGTCTGGTTGGTTGAAAAGAACGCCCTGAATTGCTCTCATCACATCATCTTCGGGGTCGGTCACAGGGGGTCGCCTTGCGTCTCCTTCCCTCCAACGCAGCATCCCACACAGCATCTCTCTCTGTATGTGATGAAGCTTCTGCTGTTGAGCGCTTCGCACTTGTTTTCCACCTTCCCCTCCCCCTTCGAGTTCTCCCCACCCACTCTTCTATTTACCGTGTACCTAACCACTGCACCTTGGAACGAAAACCTCACGCGACTAAACTCGACTCACTCGATTGTGGCAGTCAGACTGGCACGGACAGGTGCAAGGTGTGAGGTGAACTTAACGTTTACAGTATACCGTGAGTGCTTCAGAGAACAAGAAATGTTAATCCTCTTTAATTGTCCAACAGTGATCGTGTAGTGATACTTCGTTCAAGTGTTAATTCCGTCCATCATGATACACAAGTGTTTCTTGTACATTAATGTCTGTACAAAATACTAATTACGACCTGGCGTCAGGTGTTTGTTAGGTGCTGCATTCCGGAAACACTTGTTTTGTTACGATTGGTATATTCACCGAACTGAAATATGTTGGTGTATTGCAACAAAGACGTGTATCAGATATCGTTGTGGCAGACAATCGCAGAAGCTGTGTGAATAGTAAACAAATTACAAAATTATCCAGGTGTGTTCGGAAGTTTAAATTGTTCATATATAAGCCTGCGGTAACAGACAGGTATACTCAACGATGTTTGGGCTGTGAACTGAATATGTTAGGAATGTCTAATCCAGAAATGTCACTTTTGCTCAATATTCCACTTTATGTTATGGAAATAAGTCTATGAAACTTATACGTGTGTTCATGCAGTGAAATAGGGCAGTGCCCCATTATGTTAACGTGGAAAAATTCATGAACTGTTTGTGAACGTTATTATTGTCTTCTTAAGACAGCATTAAGCATTCTGTTGATAAGTAAGACGCAGTCTTTTATTAACAAACAAAAATTATTACACGTGTGTGATCTTAAACACTAACGTCCTGACGGAACATCTTGGCGCTGTGTGACTTAATACAAAGTCTGTGGTGTATATTTCTGGCAAAGTAATTTCGTCATATGTGGAACTGTGTACTGGAAACCAAAGTTAAGAGGTATGACGGTCGTAGCCGATCCATCGCCCCTGTACGTACGGATCTCGTTCTGTCAAGTTTGCCGCAACTGAGTGGTCACCGGCTGCTACCGCGATTTGCGACCTTCCGGTGGACGATTGGCGTTCCTATATAATGAGGGAGCTGGACACAGTCAGCCCGGTCGTGTGGCCTGCTTGGTGCTATACAGGTATTGCCCGTCGTCTAGGGTTTCTAGATTTATATAAATTGCCCAGTTAATACGTGCTTCAGTCGGCTGTGAATCATTTGTGTTTGTTTATGAATGTAGCGAAGTCTTGTGTTTTAAATTCTTCATTTGACTACAATCCCGGAACTTCGTAAGGTACGGGCGTCTGATGTTGAACGATTATGAACGTTAAATTGGGATGGATGTGGAACGAAGCGATTGATGACGATTTACGGGGGTTTTTTTAGAGCATATTTTGTCACGTACTGAAGAAAACTGCGAAAACCCCTAGTCAGAATAGCCGCCCTCGAAGCGCAGACTTCCCGAATACAAAACAGGAAAGCTAAATTCTGTTTCCGTACCGTAGCGTTTGGGCTGTAAGTAGGGTTTTATGTAAACGATTTGCATCTCACAGTTACCGCAAAAGAAGGTTTTGTGATTTAAGAATTTTCTTACTCTGACTGGACTAAAATGCGTGTGAATGTGAGTGTTGATTCCGCAAATGCAGATATCAAGACCATATTTTGGTCTCTATTGTAATTTCCTGACAGGTCGTGGGTTTGAAGTTTTGCTGTGTGCATTTCTTTCGTAAGACCTAATCGAGCTTCATTTATGACCCGCATGACGGCAGCACATGTTACAACCAAAAACAGGGGCAGGCAATTAGTTTTACTCGCGGGCCAGATGGGACTACTTCCAAGTAACAGTTGGCTGGATAATATGACGACAGTTCTAAATTCCAGAAGTTGTTTAACAGCGGTATGAAGTTATTCGTCCTTAGTAGCTCTTCTTTTCGACATAGGCGTGCCGAAAAATATATAAATGGTACTACAGCCAATTTTTTGAGCAAGATATAATCGGACTGTGTTCTCCTTGAGGAGTTGGAACACACGTTAAACCGAAATGAACTTCGCTTCACTCGATTACCTCATGCCGGTTTAAATTTTTCAGAATGTTTTCCTGTGACCTTTCCCTAAACTTGAAAGAAGTATTGAGAGGCATGTAATTTGATCATGTGGAAACTATTTCACACAATACAACGGAGAATTTTTGGCGATTTTAATATTTGAGTCTCGTATATTCTCCCAGCGTTTGTAGGAATGTTGAAGGAAGCGTTTATGAATTGAATTAACCTTTCATTACTGTAAGCACTGAAATATTCAGTATCTATACCTATTTATTAGTCCTTGTAAAGTACACCAATCATTTGTTGACACGTCTTAAGAATAGAACAGTTTGATGCTTTTAACTTCTTCTGGAGATACCAAAAAGTAACCTCCTTGTTTTCAAGTTTAATCTTACGAATAAAATAACAGTGGCACGCGGGTGTACTGTGTCTGAAAATGCAAATTTTGTTGATGTGAAAAATTGTCTCCACTCAGCTTAAACTTTCTAACTAGGGTTGCAAAGAAAATGAAAGTATTCAGAACTTGAATTTTAATCGACCATTATTCAGTAGGAACAACTAATGCTATTGCAAGTGAATGACGTACAATTACGCAGATATATCCGTATTTGTCATGTCGAGAACCTGAGTGCGAGAGACCGACCATCGTAATCGGTTGTATCTCAATAACAACAAAATAAATTACTCAATATGCTATCATAGTTATTCAGTAGTGATTTATTTACATTCCATAAACATAGATGAAAATATTATGAAATTATTATTATGGGTGTGTAGGTGATGGACAACAGCCACGGTGGTCTAGCGGTTAGAACGCTGGCCTTGTAATCCTGGGGCCTCGGGTTCGATTCCCGGCGGTGCCCGAATTTATAACTTGTGTTGGGCAAGGCCGTGGTCTAGGCAACACGGAGTTTTCCTCCGGGGGCTTTCCCGGTTTCTCAGTGGCATCCCAACAATTACTCCATTCAAACACAGAAGAAGGCAACGGCGAACCACTTCTGGATCATCTGCCAAGAACGTTTATGAACAGGTCCTAGTCCGAGAAAAGGATGGAAGGATCCTGTTCATATGGACCTGACCTGTCGTCAGACAGAACACTAAATAAAAAATAAATAGGTGATGGAATAAATGTTACCTATAATTCTTCCACAGAGGGCTTAGGATTTTGTGGATATGAAAACTTGTGATTACCGTATATTAATAATTACATGGATATCTTGAAACTCTTAGTCGAAACGGATACTCCCTTCTTAGTCCCGATTTCCGTGGGTACCAGTTTCGACACGTCCAGCCTGTTTAAATGTGCGGGCTGAGTTGCGAAAGATGCCACCGAAGTAGTTCGCTTTGTGGGGAAATTTGTTCAGGTTCTTCTCTGCTGCACTTGCTTCGTCTCGGATCCTGTTCTCAGTGTCTGCGATTTGCCCTGTTGCCGGACACGGTTCGTATTGGTGACCCTACCGTCACTAGGCGTACCTCCACTTTTCAATAAGCTTTCATTGCGTTGTGTTTAATTGTGCACAGGGTTGGTTGCCATGCGTGTAGGTTGATTGGATTCCCTTAAGAGCTTTCCTCGCCATGGATCGTTTCCTTGTAGAAGGCACTGTGATAGACATTCCGGAAATCAGTTGAGTAACTAGGTACTTGTATGTGATACAGTTCAGTAGTTTTTATCATTAAAATAGTTGCTGGTGGTTCATTGTATTAAGCGGTTTTTAAGGATTTTGCAACTTGTTTTGAACTACGTTTTTCACCGGCATTTTTGAATCCAGATTACGATTTGTAACTTATCAAGTTTGATAGTGCAGAAGTAGGCCTATGACTGGTTGTTCGGAGGGGAATATCCAGCATTCTACTGTAAGGAGCTGCTTCCTGGTGGTTCTTGAAACAGCAGATGAGGAATATAGATTTTTAAATTATATTCAGACGAGTTTCGGGCTATAAACGGTTAATTTGAGATTCTGGAACTGTTTTCCTGTGCTTTCTAGGTTTCTATTTATTTATTTAAGTCTCAGCACTCTGTTCCCAAAGTCATGTTCTATTAAATATAGAAATTAAGTTACTCCCGACGTACATAACGGTGCAGTACAAGAACTAGACTCTAACGCTACGGAGTATTATGAAAGAGGCAAAGCAAATTATTGAGTTGTTGATGTTTTTCTGCTCTCGTCTATGTCATTTCTTGAAGTGCAACAACTTGTTTTCGTTCGTAGCACGTATCGTAAACATCAAATTTGAAACTAATACATTTTCCGAGTTTTTTTTCATGTTCAGGCTTGCTTGTTATATGTGTGTGTGTGTGTGTGTCATATTTAATTATATTGTACACGCGTATGCAAGATCTTATCTGTACTATCAAGGAGTTAACGCTTATAAAATACGTCAGTAATGGTGTCCGTTGTTATTGTATGAAGAACGTGGACAAATCAATAATCTCTTGTAGACATTTTGATCTCAGGTGACAAAAACAAGTACAAATGTTTTCTTTAGGTGGAGAGAACAGAAATTTCTGTCGAATATTTTTGGAGGCAATATTGTTGATACGGGTTATAATAGCGCAGCGCAGTAAGCACTCTGAAACGTCGTCATTTTCTACCAGACTACACGGTGTAACATCTCAGGTGAATTTTGCATCTGAGCATAAGAGTATCGAAAAACTATTTTTACGTTGTAATGAATAAAGTTTGAGCAAATGAAAGCATATCATGCTTTGGTCCTCATTATAAAACTTGGCGTACAAAAGTAATATAGCTTCGTTTCATTATTTTACAGTTGTAGTTTAATGTGCAAATGCTTATTACATTTTAACACTTTGTTATTTAATCTTTGCAGTGTCTAAATAGTAAGACATGAAAGTTATTAAAAGCCATGGCTGGCTTGTCGCTCAGCGGACTGCTGTTGTCGGCTACTGGCCACATCTCGTAACATTCCGATTTCTTTGCGTCAGTTTTAGTTTCTGCGCGTTTGGCTGCAGTCTTCCACACCGATTCTCGTCTGCTAGGCTACGTGTGTTGAAATTCAGGTATCTACTTCTTGATTTCCCTTTATGTTTCTTTTACGAGGGTGAATTAACAATTCATATGTTCAGATTGCGAGAATTGACATTAAAATTGTCGCTTTATGTGACACCCGGTCACTTTTTAACTGGTCTGGTTGTTCGCTAAAATCCGAGACCACTAATAATCGAAAATTTAGGTCTGATTTTATGTTTATGTGTTTATTATGCGCGTGTATAACCTTGTAAGACTTTAATTGATATGTGAAACTTTTAAGTTGGCATGTAATAAATGCTGTCCTATCCAGCATACTAATAGTACGAGTAGTATTAATGTTTGCAGGATACAATCCTTCGAAATTCTAAATTATAGGTCCTCGAAGCCGTGTAACAGTATCCTTCCTGCGAAGCAGATAGTCGTTGAGCTATTCTAGATATTTTCCGCCTTTTATGGATCCCAAAAATTAATTGCCGTGCTAGTAAGACCACCAATGAACCCTATCCTTGTTCAGCTGAACCCATTTCACATCCTTACTCCCTGTTCTTTTTAATAATGTTTCTCTTAATTATGCTTTAAACTCAAAAGTGGTGTCTTCCCTTCAGATTTTGCTAATAAAATTTTTCTAAGTTACTTAATTATCCCTTGCGTTCTACACGTTTCCGCCCTTTCAATCCCCGTAATATATGGCGAAGCTCTTCATTGAGTAATTTTCTCCATTTTTCTGTTACTTCCCCTTTCTTAGCCCCTTGTTTTCTGTCCAGAACCTGTTCTCAAAGAGTGTTTTAATGCTTCTTACGTAAAACCTGCAAGTTCTTCTTCCTTCAACTGAGACGACGTTTCATATCTGTTTGTTTCTCTCCTAACCCAATCGAAATCTCATTAACAAAACGTCGCAGTTCAGTGAGCAGTAATCCTTCTTGGTGTTTGGGAGGTCTTGGTTTAAATTCTCTGCTCGAAGACCGCCTGTAGTGAGGTTTGTAGTGGTTCATTGGTTCGTTAATTTCTTGTGTTTTCCATAGTTATTTAGTCGCATTGTTAGATATTTCAGGTCCTGAACACAGCGTTTTGCGTTAAGGACATACAGAACTATTTATTATCAATTG